CAATTATAACCGTGTATTAATAATTATGGTCTTTACTTCATCCTTAACAAGTTAAATACAAAAGAATTACCACTCTTTAAGTTAGAAGACTATCTTTTCTGTAAATTAAGTATCAACGAACATCACATAGTGGCAGTCATTATGTCAAAAACGGTTATTTAAGAGTATTATCATATCAATAATAGTATTTACAAAGCTTGTAAAACAACACAGCATTACAATGGTCAACTAAGCTTGGTTCGATGACCTCTGTCATGGTTTAATCCGTTGCACGTGTTGTACAATCGGAGCACCATGCTTATCTATTACACACAAAGACCTAGTATACAACCCATAAGTACCCAGTCTAATTACCTATGTAATTCATCAACATAGCAAAGAATTCATTTATAGAGTACTTCATACATAAAATAGCAATAACAACATTTCTTAAACGTACCTTCCCCTGAAAAACGATAGCTACAGTAGATTTTCAAATGGACACGGCTGCTATTTTTCGGTACGTCTTGTCTTTGTTCTTGCCAATTAGAAAAGGAAAGAAGCGTCATAAGAAAGGGACGCTAAGTCCGTGTCACATACAAACAACATAGACATCTACATCCGCAGAATGTCTTAAACCATATCATTATGTTATGATGATACCATTAATAACTTAAAATACTATTTACAATGTAGTGATAAACAATATCATGTATCCTGTGCTATATAAAACAAGTTAACTTAATGATGAACTTTGTACTACTTTATTGTGTATAAATCAGGTACTTAGGACTAATTAGTAATTAGTCTTAGGGCGAAACTATTATTGTCTTAGGGTTATTATCATTAATTAAATCAATGCATGAATATGGTGAAAGAAATCAGTCTACAGTATTACATTATTATTATCATTATTATTATTATTATTATTATTATTATTATTATTATTATTATTATTATTATTATTATTGATGGAATTGTTTATATTAATGTTAATATTGTTATTATTGGCACCGTTATCATCATCATCTTCATCGTCACCATTATTATTATTTTTATACCCACTCGGCGAAATCGTGATGACGTTATCTTTAGTGACTAATTAATATAATGCACATGTACATACGCTAAAGGCACAAATAAACGTCAATAATAATATAGCTTATGGGTTCAAAATTATTACTTACGAAAGCAGGATCTGTACACAAAGATGTTGATATCAAAAAGACAAATGACAAATTGCATTGACAGAACAATATTAATACAAACTAAATGAATTAATATCAAAATAACACAGTTCTCTTATTAGGGTCGAGATGCATTGCACCGAGATTGGGTGTTTGGGGATTGCACTTAGGCCTAGAATTACAAATGTCTCATTATTATTGGTAATGAGAGTCATCATACCGTATTTATTCTAATAAACGCCCCACTTTGAATAAACGCCCTCTTTGGGGCCTGATTTTAAATAAATGCCTCCATCGAATAAGCACCCTGGAGGTTTATTTTTTTTTTTTTATCGAATAAACTCCCCACTAAATGATATCTCTTATGGAAACAGCATCATTCCCAACACATTCTATTAATGCTCAACTCCAGAATTACATTTTTCTAACCTGGATGGGATTAATAAGTATTTTTGATCATACAATCTTAACACATTTTGACGGTAATTATGTGTTGTAGTTCCACCTTTACAGTGAAATTAAGGGGCGTTATTTGAGTACCGGTACGTACCCATTTTACACAAAAACAAAAAAACAAAATAAACGCCTCCTTCGAAATAACGACCTCTCAAAAGCCTTCTCAACAATAAACGCTCCTGGCGTTTATTCGAATAAATCATGGATAAATACGGTAATTTATTGAATCAGCTATTCAAATATTTAATGAAGTTAAGTTATATGTTAATAAAAATTCACAAAAAATAGCCTTTTAATGAACGCCAAACCACCCAAGGTAACAATCCCACATGGGGCCCATATGCAAAATATCTGGGAAAAGTCTTATGGGCTACCCCATATTTTTCCCTTATGGGATCCGTCTGGGCAATCACATATGGGCCTTCTCCATGGTTTACCCATATGGAGCCCATATGCCAAATATATAGGCAAATATATATGGGAATATTTAAAGTACATGGGCCCCATATGGTAAATACCTGGGCAAATAAATTTGGAAATGCCAACATTTAATCCGCATGGGGCCCATGTGCCAAATATCTGGGAAAATACATATGGGCATGCCCATATTTATCTACATGGGGCCCACATGCCGAAGACCTGGGTAGTTGAATATGGGTATGCCCATAAATTTCGTATTGGGTCCATGTGCCAAATATCTGGGAAAATACTTATGGGCATGCCCACATATAATATACATGGGACCCATATGCCCAATACATGGGCAAGTAAATATGGGAACCCCATATTTAATCCAAATGGTGCCCATGTGCCAAATATGTGGGCAGTTACATATGGGCATGCCCATATTTAATTTCCATGTGACCCATATGCCAAATAACTGGGCATATACTTATGGGAATGCCCAAATTTATTCCACATGAGTTCCATGTGCCAAATATCTGGGAAAATACATATTGGCATGCCCATATTTATCTACATGGGGCCCACTTGCTAAAGACCTGGGTAGTTAAACATGAGTATGCCCATATTAATTTCGCATTGGGCCCATGTGCCAAATATCTGGGAAAATAATTATGGGCATGCCCACATATAATAAACATGGGACCCATATGTCAATTACCTGGGCAAGTAAATATGGGAGGCCCATATTTAA